TCCACCAGGTCAGATGCTTTAGCAGAAAAGTGAGCAGGGCTGTGAGGGAGACCATTAGAAGGACCAGACCCGGCAAACCCTATGCCGAAAAGGCCACTTAAGGGCCAGGATAAGGATGCCCTTAGGTGCCAGAAAGCAATTGAAAACAGATTGCCAAGGCCCAAAAGCAAGTAGTTGCCCAGGTTCATCAGTCAGCCCTGCCAGATTCCCCTGTTGGACAGGAGACAGCCCAATCTGCTATGTGCATTTCAGGCAGCGAGGGGGCCTTTAGTGCTCTGTCACCAGATGTGGCTTTTGCAGGGTCCAGATTCCACTCTCCTTCCCTCGGGGAGATGCGGAACTGTTTGATTGTGAATTGGAGTCGGATGGGGAGAGCCCTATTATCCCCCCTGGACAGAGGTTCACTTCACAGGCCCACCGTAGCGGGAACCTGCCTGGTGGCACTCTTCGCGGAAATACACGAAGTAATCACTTCACGTGCCGTGACTTCTAATGTCAACTCTTCGCCAGAGATCAAAATGGAAAATGGCCTCAGTTATATTCAAGGGGGGCAAGCTGTTTGGGGAAGCCCTGGACTCAGTATTAGTTGAGAATAAGGACAAACTGAAGGTCATGCCTTTCGTGTCGTGCAAACTGGACCGCAGGTCTTCGTCCTATTTTCATCGCCAGGTTCCCCGCTAGGCTGATCCGCGGCCCAATACTTCCTCTTTTCAGTGATCGTACCAACAGAACCAGGATAGGCAGTCCTTTTGGGATAAGAGTTACCAGTCCTTCTCCCAACAGCCATTTCGAGGACAGTCTGGAAACAAACACGTCAGACGAAATAAGTGACCAGCATCCCAACCCTCCCATAGGGAGGTGGCTACATCTATTTGCCACCCGTTGGGAGGAAATCACCTCAGATGCATGGGTCCTCCAAACACTTCTATTAGGCCTGACATTGGAATTTCTGTTCCCCTCCTAGTGCCACTTTATTCGTTGCCCCACTCCAAAGTGTCCTATCAAAAGATGTCTCATGGAGGCCGAGATCAGTCATCTCAGGGAAATCAGGGCAATCGAACTGGTTCCCCCAGGTCAGGAATGCAGGTGTTTTTATTTCATCTTATTCCTAGCCCCTCGATAGTCCCTTGGACACGATTCCACACACAACATCTGCAGTGGTTTTTGCTCCCGATGCAGAGAGCCAATGGCAACAACTCCCTGACCAAGGTGATACTTCCTCCCAAGGTTCTTCACTCCTTCAGATGGTGGCAATTCCCATCCGTAACAAAGGGAACCTTCTTCAAGAAATCTGTCCATCAGACCATCACGACGGATGCCAGCCTTTTCGGCTGGCTGATCCATTTTCGTACCCTGGTTGCACAAGGTCAGTGGTCACCTCACGATCCTTCTCACAACATAAATTTGTTGGAGTTGAGGGCAGTGAGGCTCGTTCTGCGTTGATTTTGACCAGACATACAAGGTCATCATATTATCGTCCTCACCGACAACATAGCAGCAAAGGCGCACAAAAACCACCAAGGGGGGACCAGATCCAGAGTAATCAGGAAAATTCTAGAAGAGGGAACGGAAGTTCTACTGGTGGCTCCTTACCGGCGCAGACAGACTTGGTTCACCGATCTGACCTGCCTCTCCCATCGCACACCCCTGAAGAATTTCACAGGAGTCAGTCTCTCTCAGCCAGGGGGTGGTTCTTCACCCAGAACTTTAGTTCCTCAACTTAACCGTCTGGCACTTGAGAGAGACCTTTTGAAAAGGGCCGAGTTTACCAGCAAGGTTATCAGAATCATACAGGCATCCAGATGTCCGTCTACTAACAGAATATATGACGTCACCTGGGGTTCTTTTGCTGGTGTGCGGGTCGGCAAATTCAATCTACCACAGCTTCCATCCCATGGATCCTGGACTTCCTCCAGGAGGGCCTTGAAAAAGGGTTGGCCCCTAATAACCTGAGACACCAGGTGGCCACCTTGTCCACCCTGATTCCATCTCCTACTCTTCAGCCTCTCAGCAAAAAAAATGGAAGTGCATAGCTTCCTGCGCGGGGTTTCCAATCTTAGTCCTCCAATCGTCCACCGCTACTCATCCTGGGATCTTGCCACAGTTTTAAGGGTACTCTCCACTTCACCTTTGAACCCCTCTGCAACGCTTCCTTGCGACACCTGACTCTCAAAACTGCCTTTCTTGTCACAATCTTGTCGGCACGCAGGATCTCAGAGCTAGCGGTCCTGTCTATCCACAGTAATCTGTGCATCGTCCATCTGAACAGGGTCGTTCTCTGTCTCGATCCCACCTTTCTGCCGAAGGTCAATTCATATTTTCATCATGCCCAGGAAGTTGTCCTTCCGATTTTTGTCCAAGATCAAAGGATCCCAGAGAACTTTAAAGCGGTACCTCAAGTGTACATCCTCTTTTCGTCGGTCTGAAGCCCTATTTGTTTTGTTTCAGCCGGCATCCATAGGGCGCAAGGTCACCTCATCCATTGTGGGAAGATGGATCAAGGTTTGCATTTCTTTTGCCTACGAGCAACAGGGTAAACCAGTTCCTCACAGGTCACAGCGCACTCAACACGGAGTGCAACCCCGACAGCTGCCTGGGCCACCCAAGCGTCGGTTGAGGAGATCTGCAAGGTGGAGACTTGGGTGTCCCCTTCATTATTTGTCATTATTTGTTGGACAAATTTGTCTTTGCGGATGCTGCTTTTGGCAGAAGAGTTCTGCAGACGATTGTAGCTACCCCTTGATAGGGTTGCGTTATTTTTTCTCCCATCTGTGGACATAGGTTTACTTGGGTATGTTCCCCGCTTGAACTCTCCAAGCAGCGCACAGGAAAATGACCATTGGCTTAACTGAAGAGTCCTTTTATGTGCTCTGCGGGAGAGTCCAACCCCGCCCTGGGGTGAGACTTCCATTGAACTGGGTTGCTTCTAGTCGGTTGGATTCTATGGATTATACTCAATGGATTTACTACATAGTTGTCTTCGGGACCATGCCTTCATTGAAAACTGGATATTAGAGGAGACAAGGAGGCGTGACCAGAAATTTCAATCCAGTCCATTGGGCAGAAGGATAGAATTTAACCCATGCTTAGACTCTCCCGCAGTGCACAGAAAAGGACCCTTCAGATAAGCCAATGGTCATTCCCCTACCACCTATGAACATCTATAATGAATTAAAAAATAGAGGGACATAATATTTTTGCTCTCAACTAGGTATAGCATGTACTTGGATCCTATCATGCAAATAGACACTGAAAATATCAAACCTGGAGAGGTCTTTGTTTTAACAATCAGACAGCTTTTAGGATACAGAAATAGAATGGGAAGGATTTCTGCTTCCTTTCTCAAAGTTACCACTTGTCTTGAGTATTTTTTCAAATGATGTGGAAAATTGTTTGGTTGGTTGGTGGATTGATTTCCTGTCTTCATTATTTTTACAAATAACTTGGGGCAGTGAATACACACAGTACTCATTCCTCCTCCTATTTCCTCCATAACAATTTTGTAAAGTTGTTTAGCCTGAGAGAGACCGAGACCGAGACCGAATCAACCATGTTTTCAGACCTCAGGCAGAACTAGACCTCAGAGTCTCCTGGTTTCTAGCCAGCATTTTAACCACTAGACCACACTGGTTCTTCTTAGAAAATTGGAGACCAATCTCTTATAGATTATCTTCAGTTTGTGAATGTAGTAATCCTTCTTGCCACTTAACTCACCCTCCATTCCAGCTTTTCTTATGTGTTCAGTCTTGGTACGAATAAAAAGGTGTTATCATCTTGCCAAGGAGATGAATAAAATAAATGATAGAAAGTAGGGTATGATAAGTAGGAAATAATAGAAAGGAAGTAGAGATGCAAAACTTTTCACTTTATTACTTTCTACCATTTTATGTCTTGGTTCTGCAATTACTTGAGAAACCCTATTTTTAAGCAAAATATGATGGTCAAATCAGGGTTGCTGATGGACATGGGAGAAAGATGTATTGTAGAAAAAGAAAACTTAGGGATTGTGTTTATGTTTGGCCATTCTCCCACAATGTTGGTTTAATTTTGATTAATAGTTTTTTAATAGTAGATAATTTGTTTTTAATTGTTTTTGCTCTGGCATGCCTTCCAGAGTCATGTTTGTGAAATGGGAAGATATATAAATTGGCTAAATAAATAAATAAAATAAAAGTAGATTCGATTTGCTATTGAGTGAAATCCATCTGCATCAACAGAGAAGAACAGTGAGACTTAGTTTGTTGGACGTGGCAAAAGGGAACTTTTACTAAGTTTTATAGGAAAGAGCTCAATAAATATTTTCCTTACCAAAATATTAAATGTTTCATTTAATTCAATGAAGTCAAATTATAAACTATCATAAAATTCTTCCTCTTTTATATCAGTATAAACTGTTTGCCCTTTAAATGGTCACCAAATGATTTGTTGATTTTTCTGTAGAAGAACTTGCAGTGTAGAGAAAGCTACTTTCCCACACTTTTTGTCGGGAGAATTATAACTCTGATATAATATCCTGTGAGAAGTTGTAATGTATTCTCCATTTCTATATAAAGTTATGAACTATCTTCAATATGAAACATTTGTGCTACTTGTAAGTACATTTCTTTTACTGAGCTACCATAGTTGGATTGCAAATATCCAGACAACTGTTAGAAGGCAGCAGATTGTTAGAATTTTTGTATTCTTTGCTGACATCTAGAGGTCTTGATATATGATCACAACTGGGACCAGAATTTCCTTTGTCAAGCAGGGTGATTGTTAACCAAGTGGCCCCTGATTTTGTGAGCTTTTTGCCACAAATGTTAAATGAATCACTGCAGTTTTTAAGTGAATCACATGGTTATTAAACAAAACAAGCTTATAAATAAAATCTCATGATCATCTGAACTTTTATAAGATCTAGTATACTGAAACTATAGTATTGCACATAAACAATAGTTTCAAGGTAGAGCATGCTGCTAATTTAAATAATTTTCTTCCTCTTTTCTTTTTTCAATTAGGAGCCGTAAAATTCAGATAAGAAATATCCCCCCTCAGCTTCGATGGGAGGTAAGTCTGACAATATGAAAGAGATGTGGGGTTAACACACAGCCAGGAATTGTTTTTATTTTTAAATCAGAGCTTTGGTATCTTTTGAGATTTGTGTTTCTGACAAAATATAAGAAAATCTCCTTCCTTTGTTTCCCATCTGTCTTCCTGCTATGACATCTATTAGAGCAGAATAAGAAAAATACTACTATTTTAAACCAGATTTTCCAGTTGTGTTGAGTTATACAAATAAAGGCGGAGTATAAATCTAATAATAATACCTAGTTGATAGCTATTTCTTCTTTTCTATTGTATAAGGATCGAAAATTGTCCCCTATCCCAAGATCATCTACAGAATGTCATTGATCAAGAGTTATCTGATTTATTAATTGGCTTTAGAAAAGGGTGTGTCACTCAAGATCACATTGTCAATATTAGATGGATCATAGAAAAGGCACATGAATATCAAAAGGATATATATCAATTACAGAAAAGCTTTTGACTGAGTAGAACCCAATTAGCTATGACTGACCTTGCATGATATTGGTGTCCCAACCTATCATATTGTTGTACACTGATCAAGAAACAATAGGAGAACACTAACTTAGGCTGCACTGTAATAGTTAGCATGAATAAGATCTGGAATATCAGAGATATTGATATAAATACTAAAAACTGCCTATTTAGAGCAATAGTCTTCTCTATAATGATTTATAGATGTGAGAGTTGAACACTAAGAATGTCTGATCAAGAAGAATTAACACCTTTGAACTGTGGTGCTGATGTAAAGTATTGTGTATACCATGGACTTAGCCAGAGCAACCAACAGAGAGGAACTGAAGCGTATAAAAATAAACACATCCTCAGAAGCCAAAATAACAAGATGACATCTTATTTACCTTGGCCACGTCATGTGTGCAAATTCACTTGAGAAGCTAATAATGCTAGGAGCTCAGTGAAATAAGAAGAGGCAAGCAAAGAACATGCTGGCTTGATAACATCAAACCTGATGAACATCCAACAACTAAAAGAAGTTGTACTTGATAGGTTAGCATGGAGAACACTTGCCTATAAAGTTAACAAGAGTTGGACATGACCGAATGGTTAAAATAAATGTTTCCTAAAAACTGAGTTCCCCTATAGCCCTGTTGGTGAACCTATGGCACATGTGTCACAGATGGCACGCAGAACCAACACAAGGCGTTGCCCTGTCAGCTCCAGCATGCATGTGCGCTCTGGAAAGCTGATTTTTGGCCTTGATTTTCAACCATTTTTTGCCCAATAGGGATGGAATTCCGGTTTGCGCATTGGGCTGCTTTTCCCCATCCGGAGGCTTTAGGGAAGCCGCCTGAAGCCTCCGGAGGGCAAAAAATGGCCCAATGGGCAACCTGGAAGTCCATTCCTGAACTCCCAGTTTGTGTATTGGGCTGTTTTTCACCCTCTGGAGGCTTTAGGAGGCTTTCCTGAAGCCTGCAGAGGGCAAAAAAACAGCCCAACGCACCTCCCGGAAGTCCAGAGGCTTCAGTGAGGTCTGTGCGGATAAATGGTGTGTTTGTGTGCACATGCGTGGGGTGGTTCTGTGCGCATGCGCCGGGGGAGGGCATTGCATTATGGGTGTGGGCACGCACATGCGTGGCACCTTCCACTCCCCCTGCATTTGGCACACCTTGTCAAAAAGACTAGCCATCATTGCCCTATAGTGACCAGTATTTGAAATCACAAAGTTATTTATCTTTGTTTAGCCTTGTAAAAACTAAGACAGGATATGGGTAGTCCTTGAGATATGACAGGTCATTTTTATGAATATTTGAAGGTGCAACGCACACTCCAAAGCTACATATGGACCAGTTTCAAAGTTACAATTCCTGCAGTACCCCATGGGTACCAATTCCAGAGATAGTACAACACACACAATACACAATACTTCAGTACTATAGTGACAGGCTGCGTCACAGAAGAAACTTTGGGGAGCCCAAGGGACGGAGCAGAGCATGGAATATCTCAGAGTGGACTTGAAACAGTTGCCTACAACAAGAAATGATTAGTACCTCATAATCTGAAATTTGTTTACTGTGATAGGAATCAATCTAGACTCCCTTTTCAGGCTCCCACTAAGAATAGCTAATTGCAGAAACATATCAGTAATTTCTGTGCGAACTTTGCCTTTTTTCTTCATTACAACAAACTTGAAATAGAATCTCAGGTAGGAATCAGTTGCTACAATGTATTCATCATGTTTATCATTTATAAATCAATCTGTTTCAACATTTATAGTGTGTTCACCTGTCCAAATGTTATAGAACGAGACATTTTGGGTTTGTTCATTGGCTCAAGTAAAGGCAAATGCGGAAAGGCTTGTAATAATGTATAATGATATTTGGATTTGAATTGCCAGTTGAAAGCCTTGGCTGTCTCTAGTTTTTGTTCTAGATTTTATAGACTTTTGGGGTAGAAAAGGGTAGAAAATACCTTTTCAGTTTTGTGTTGCTTTTTATAATTTTAAGCATGACTTAATCTTTCCCTCTTTTCTATGTCTGTGTTTGCGTGTCATATATGTGTATGTTTTTAACTGAGTAGTTTTTTTAAAAATCTGAATAGGTCTTGGATGGTTTGCTAGCTCAATATGGTACTGTGGAAAACTGTGAACAAGGTAAGTTTTCATGAGAAGATTTGGGAAATAGAGGTAGTACTTGACTTATGATGGAACACCCCCGCCCCAAGCTACTTATGACCCAAATCTGAATGGCCTTTTAACAGAAACATGACAACATTTTGGGCACTCAGCACCCAGCCCACATTTATGGCTGTTTGCAGCATACCTCGTTCACATGGCCTCAATTTATTGTGTTTTTGCTGAAAGCAGGCATTTACATCTAGTTTTTGGCAGAAACATCTCATTGCAAACAATGGATTTGTTTAATTACAACTGCAAAAAAAGGTTGTAAAATTAGATAAGTTACAGTGATGACCCACTTTATGCCTGTCGTGACTCACAATCATTATTGGCAAACTCCGTTGCAGTTGTAAATGGAGGAAAACCTGTATATCTGTCTGTATCTTAGTGACACAGATTGAAAGGAGGAATTTCTAGCCTAATCCTAAATTTGTTTCCTGCAAGGTAGTTTCACTGGACTCATAAAGACATACTTTTGAGGAAATATCTTTGTGCTATTTTTAGATTCTGATTCATCTGATCCTGAATGTTTGCTTAACAATATATTCCAACCTCATTCCTTCAGTTGCTTTTAGTGGTTTTTTTTAATGTGTTTATTTTTCTTTAAGCAAATGTACTCCTTACATGCATTTGATATACCTTAAGATGCATTTAATATAGTTTTGGAATCAAGAACAGTGCTTGGACATTCTGAAAATACAAAAAATATTGGGTAAAGTTAGTTCCAAATTGCACATTAGCATGGAAGGCAAGAATGCAGTCAGCTTGTATTGGAGTTCTCATAATTAAATTGTGAAGTATCTCTATGTGGGATTAAGAGTATTGCCGTACCCCTGCTTTCCTCACCATTCATTGTTTTCCCCTACTCAACAACTCAAGCAATAATGTGGAAGTCGAACTCTTTACAGCCACATATGAAGGAAGCACTCTTGAGAACTGTAATTAGTTGTAGTCTAGTTGTGTTTAAATCTTGAACAATGATTCTTAATCAATACCTGGATTAAATTGTAAAGCTAAAATAAGGATTTCTAAATAATAGCGATAGCACTTAGACTTTTACACCGTTTCACAGTGCTTTTATAGCACCTTCTAAGTGGTTTACAGAATCAGCATATTTCCCCCAACAATCTGAGTCCTCATTTTACAGAAGGATCGAAGGCTGAGTCAACCTTGAGCCGGACTCAAGCTGCCAAGCTGCTGACAGCTGACAGTCAGCAGAAATAGCCTCCAGTACTGCCTTCTAACCACTGTGCCACCACAGCTCCTATAATGATGTGATAAATAATGTAATAGCCTATTTTTCTCATATATTCAAGCTATAATAAGTGAGGTTCACACATCCTACTGAACCAAAAATAAACAAATCATTTTACATGTATTTGTTATTCTTGGAAAAGTGGAGATTTAACTACTAAAATTCTAAGCTATTTTAACCATAAAGGGAATCTTAACTAAACTACATGTATTTTTCTTCCTTTTTTATTTGCAAGTGAACACAGACAGCGAGACAGCAGTTGTTAATGTCACCTACTCTAACAGAGAACAGACCAGACAGTAAGTTTAAAGTGATTTATTGGTTATAGGTGTTTCTGGTTCAGTATTTTTGTGTGCATATAATCCTGCAAAGAATACTGAAATCAAAGCTAGCAGAAATATATTTATATTAGCTGGTTCTGACAGATTGTTAGATCTGCAACATATTTATGATTTATTTATCTAAGAATCTGTGTCTCATCTAATTATAGTCCATCACTTGTATGTTCATTGCTTCTCTGAAATCTTGGACACGATCAGGGAAAGATTCTCTGAATTACACATGTCTCTTTCTGGAGCTCTAGAAGAATATTTTTTTAAAGGAGAATAAATAGATGCTCACAATCAAGATATATTGTTAGGTACTGCTTATTTTTGTCTGGATATATTATTCCATTCTCTACTGGAAGAGAAGGAAGTTCTTAAAATCCTAGATTGTCACATATCGTCATCATCACCACTGCCATCCTTCTTTGTGGAGCAGTCCAGGAGTTCTTGCAGAAAAGGGTACTCCAAATAATTAGGGAAAACTGTAAGTGCATGTAGGAATGCTGCTTTGGTTAAATATTGCAAACCAGTTCGGATATGATCTCTGGCAAATTCCGTGACATATTAATTATTACTTAGCCATCTAAAAGCAAATGTTTCCTATACAGAATTATTTGCTCTCCTTTCTCACTGCTCCACTATGTGGAGACAATGTGTAGAATTCATGGAACTTGGCAGGAGAATTTTAAACCTAGGTTTCAGATAACAGATTTTAACCGAGTGGCAAATGTGCATGGGATGCTTGGATGCATATAGATTGTCTCATGCTAGGTTATAGTTAATGTTAACACCCCATCTATCGTTAGCTTTATGAATTGCAGCCCATTATCAAAGCCATATACAATTCTTGATGTCTTTGGGCTATTCTCCGTTTAAGGGGCTTTCCCTGCTGTTTGGAAGCTACCAGAAAATTAACCCTGCATCGTTTTTGCTGCCCCACTTCCCAATCCCAATTTCCTCTGATCTAGCCTGCAGTTTGGGGGGGGGGGGGGAGTGTGGATCATTATCCTTATTTTCTCTCTGAAGGAAAGGCTTCCCTGTACACATTCCTTCTAGATATGTTCAGACAAAAGAAGACAAGTTTATTTTATATTTATTTACACTTTCTAACTAAAGAAATCTTAGTAGGATAAAAATAATGCATATTATGGAAAAAATAGTGAAGAGATCAGAGAGAAAATAATGAAATAGAAAAGAGGCAGCTTCTGATCTTATAAAGTTATAAATACTTTGCCTCTCTCTCTAAAGTTGCATCATAATTTCCTTCTTTCCACACAATCTGTTGCAAAGGGAGGGGAGTTTAGAGAATTAGACATATGCTTCCCTGTGCCCCAGCCAGCATAAGCTTAGCCATCTGTCATTACTCAGTGCTCCTTGTGAAAGGTAGAAAGCCCTCCTCTCCTGCCAACCACACTCAGTGTTTGTCAACTATTAATAAGGCTCCTTTTGAGTACTTACTTTTCTGGAAAGTCTGTGTTATTTGAATAACAAGAAATGGGTCCCATTGATGGATATGCTATGAAGTAGCAGAAGATAAGCCAGCTCTCTTTTCTCTCTCATGTCTCATACATAGCCTCTCTCCTATCAGTCCTGTTGGTTCGTTTCTGTTTGGAGATTCACATAGAGATCTAGGAGGTTAACAGAGGAACTCAGAAGGAATATTTCAAAGAGATGTTTAAACAATCTTTCAGAAAGTGATATGCTAACCGTGTCCATAATCAAAATGACTAGAATCACAGGAAATATGGAGCATGTCTGTACCAGTATAAAGTGGTGAATAATTTGGACTATTCCAACTTCTAAGGTGCCCTGACTGTGACTACTGGTAAAACATGTCAGGTTATATAGTCAAGGTAAGATTGGCTATGTTGCTCGCTTAAGGCAGAATATACTACAAAACAGCTAAGGATGGTCTGGCTGCCTCAGTTATGGCTGGATTCAATATGAAGGTAATGATTTGTGGACAAGGCAGAGAAAAAGGTTTCCAGAGTATGCCTGCCTAGTTTAGGTCCATCTGGAAAAGGGCATTTTTCCCCCTTTGGTCCCCTGCACAATTTTTAGTTTTCAAAATGTGTTAGTCATATAAATTTAAAGGAATGTGACCTATTAAGAGTAGAATTAACAGAAAAAGTGTGTGAAAAAACCTTAAAAATGCTGTTATATAGAAGTCATTTAATCACCCAGACATAGATGATGTAGAAATAATATGTAATATGTGGATCAGCAGAATAGAAAAGACAGAATTGGAGAAAATAAAAAAAAAAATCCAAGACCTGCAATTAGGAATAGCATGATGACAAAAGGAAGCAAAGATAGTGCCAGTAGTGATAGGTGTCTGGGTGCACTCCAAAATATCTAAAGCACCACTTGAACACCATTGGCATTGACAAAAACGCTATCAGTCAATTGCAAAAGGCAGCTTTACTTAGAACAGCTTATATCTTGTGACAATATCTTTATCACCATCAAACAATGTCCTATCCCAGATCCGTGAAGAAGATTCAATGGAGAGATAAAAATGCCCAATCCATCCACAGCATTTAATTGATTGTGTAATGAAATATAATCATCATCATCATCATCATCATCATCATCATCATCCAGCAAAAGCATTTGATTGATTGTGTGATGAAATATAATAATAACAACAGCAACAAAATTCATAGGGTCAGTCATCGCCCGGGTCAACAAGGACCACATCAGATGCTATGGCTCCTGGACATCTGACGAAAAAGGGGCTACAGGGCTCAGTTTTTACTGTCAGGGAACCAGGGCATGCAACTACAAAGCTACTGGAACCAAAGCGCAAAACCTGGACAACCAAAGAAAATCGAGAAATCATCAAATGTGATACTCATTATCATCAGGACATTTGGTACCATGTCCAAGAATTTTACAAAACACATCAAGAAATTATAGCTTCCTGCAATAAAACCGTGGAACTGCAGAAAATAGCGCTACTAGGAACATCATATATTTTAAGAAGATACTTGGCTGATACCTAGGACACTGGGAACTATGCCAGAAATTTGGATTTGAGTACAGCAAAAACCACTGGGAACATCAGGTTGAGAAGGTTCTACAGAATGAAAAAGTCAAGATCTTGTGGGATTTCAGAATTCAGACTAAGGCAATTGGCCCTCAACACACCTGATATAACAATAGTTGAAAAGGGGAAAAAAAACGTTTGGTTCATTGATATTGCAATATC